ACGGTTGGAGAAAGTACGAGAATCTAAAAGAAGATCGCACTGTTGGGAACGGCCCACATCCTACGAAAGGTCCTATCTATCGGACAATAAACGCCCTAGGGCCCAGGTAGGGCCCCGGCAAAGAAAAGCAACTGGCACGAAAGTGCCAAGTCATAAATAAAACATAATAATAATAATAATTGTAAGCATCCACTAGTCGAGCGAATTCCACTAAAACCAATGCGGATGCTAAGAAGCTTTTAGTCAAAGCATCAACTAGTGGAAGATCAGCAAAAGGAAAAGAAAACCAAAGCAAATTAGTATTTCTCTATGTATATATATATTTGAATTAATATATAGCAAATCAATATTTTATGTATATTTCTAAAGTTTGTATACTTCCAGAATAATATATTTTTATAAATTTACATGTAAAATTTATATAATGAAAACTAAAAGTCTCTTTGAAATTACCAAACAACGTAATTTAACATAAATTCATATCAAATAAAGTTACTTACTTAAATAATGTTTACAAACATATACTTGCAATGAAGATATTTCCATTATGATATACATTGTTTAGAAATATGAATATTTACAGAAGTAGACTAGTTAAGTGTTTATATCGTCACTAAATGCAAATTTAGTATTTAGTGACAACAATTTATATTTTTCATGTCCTTCCTTAACAAATGAGAAAAATGTTTCTCAATTTTATAAAAATCATTATGATATATTATTATTTGTAAAATTATAAAAGTAAGAAAATTAATTTTGTAACACTTGTGTATTTTTTTAAATTAAAATAAATTTTATAAAATCATTTTTTTTTTATTATTATACCTTTATTCATGATACATGATTTTTGAGAAAGATTGAAAGTAATGAGAATATATTTTTCTGATTTTTCTGAATATCGAATAGTATTAAAATATTTTATACACAAAAATGTAGAGAAAATTACTAATATTAGAATAAACATATGAGTCAACTATTGATTAACTATCGAAATATAATAAAGATTCGATGTATTAAATGTTTTATAATTCATAAACTATCAATATACGAGTTTTACATAGATCAATATCTTTCGTTTAAAATTAAGAAAGTAACGTCTTTGCAAAAATCAGTTCATTTTTGTTCCATTTCATCGTTTTTACTTTTTCGTCGAAAAAAATGAAATAGTCCTCACTAGCACATGTAGCTTGCTGCAGTCAGATCAGTTTCTGGTATTCGTCCGTCCTTCCAGCGTTCAATTTTAAATATATCTAAGTAAGTATGATTATTATAATTATTATCTATTATTTTTATTACATTCTAAGTATAAACCTGCAATTATTTTTGTTTGTTTTACATTGATCAAGTAGAACTATTCGTTTTATGTAAAAAAACAACACTTTACTTATTTTTAAATATTTAAAAAAAACTTGAACAGAAAGATAAAAAATTTAGTAGATGAAGTATGAAGGTTAACTCAAAAATGTGGCTTTAGATATAGTGTACCAACAGAATATGCAATTTCTACCTATTTCTACAAATTTTCTACTTTTCTTACGTAATCAAATTATTTTTCTTATTTTAAAACCAACTTTTGTAGGATTTTCTGATATATATTTCCAACTTTTCTTTTTATAGCACCTTCTAATAATCTATAATTTATAAAAGGAAAAGAATGAAAAAAATCAACCAGGAAATGGTGTCAATGTAAGAACTGGATCAGAATATAGAATAGCAATTAGAATATCAGTCGATGGTAACTAATTTGATCTCTTCCTAGTTTCAAATTAAATTTTAATAATTATTTAATTATTCAGATAACCACGATTCACTCCCCGACACTTTGCAACTTCACGAACCCGAAAGAACAGCTAAAATGAAAGAAATAACAATTAAAGAAAATTCGGGCTGAAACATTGAATAAAAGAGAAAATCGCAGAAAGGGATTGATATAAAGAAACATCTCGACGAAAAAAAAATAATCCATTGAATCAGACGGTAACAACAATAGAGGGGTGGCCACATTTATGTTATATTTGGATCCAATAATTCTAATGTCATACGGAGATTATAAAGCAATTAATTAGTCAAGTATAACACAAGCTACAAACATATTATTCACGTGTTTGATTTCTAGGGATTTCGAGAATTCGGGAATTCGCGAATTTCTGTGAAAACAAGAAGCTGAGCAATTTTTTTGTAGGTTGTGTTATACTTGACCAATCTAATGCTTTATAATCTCGGTATGAAACTTCAGTATTATTTTATCAAAATATAACAAAAATATTGCCTCCCATCTCTTGTTGTGTTACGGTCTCATTCATGTGATGTCGTCGAGAGGTTCCGAAATCTTTGCTCGTTTTGAATCTATTGTGTGCTATAGGTATTTCTTTCTGTAGTTATCTCGTCAATCTCAGCCCATAAATAAAATACTTCAATTTAAATATTTAAAAAAAGCTTGTTTTGAGGTATTGAAATGACATATTAATATTAAAAACTTTTCTATCCTATTGGATGTGTTTCAGATTTAATTGATAATTTAATTGAATCATTATGAAGGTTAACACGAAAATTTTGTTTAGGAAAAAGTGTTTTCTACAAATATTATACTTTTCTTTTCCTCTAAATTAGACTCCACCGTTGTTTCCCAATCATTTTATTTTTCACGTTATGACAATATTTAGATCATTCTGAAAAATATCAGAATACGTATATAGAAGTTGCCTTTTAATACTTATCCTATTCATATCTCTGAGTAAATTGCTATATATAGAATGTAATAATATTATTTTGTGGAGGCAAGGTAGCTGTCCAGCTACTATTTTAAGACGATTTATGTTTTACTCTCATTATAAAATATAATCTTAGGAAGCATATAGATTTACTGGAAGCTAAATAACTTTTGGATTGGATTTGATATCTAATTCATACTTTTCCTTTTACAGCACCTTTTAGAAACATAAATATGTCGGCCGAAAATCAGCTCTGGTGCCTAGTTTACTACAAAGAAGCCAAGTCTGGACGAAAATATGAAATTGTTAACCATGACAGATTGGTGCAGATTGGAAAACATGAAAATATTAAACAAGGAAATGAAGTAAAAGTAACTTGTGGATCAGCACATATGATGGCTACAATAATAAATGTCGCTGGTAAGTAATTTGATATTCTCCTAGTATCATATTAAATTTTAATAATTATTTAATTATGCATATAGCTATGAAACACTCTACAAGGAATTTAAGACACTTTTAAATATATATGATCAAGTGCAGGAATCTGAAATAAATGCAAAATATATTAAAGAGAATGCTGACCTAGAGCGTTCTATAGAAGAGATAACAGCGGAAAATGATTTGTATAAGCAAATAGTCGATTCAATGATTCAATGATTCAGATGATCATAATGTTGTTGATGATGATGATTATGATGATGATGATATTGAGGATATTGAGGCAAATAAGTATTTCTCTATATATATATTTGAATTAATATATATATATCAATATTTTATGTATATTTTTAAAGTTTATATACTTCCATAATAATATATTTTTATAAATTTACATGTAAAATTTATATAATGAAAACTAAAAGTCTCTTTGAAATTACCAAACAACGTAATTTAACATAAATTCATATCAAATAAAGTTACTTACTTAAATAATGACTTTTATTTTTCATTACATACATATACTTGCAATGAAGATATTTCATGCACCATTATGATATACATTGTTTAGAAATATTAATATTTACAGAAGTAGATTAGTTAAGTGTTTAAACCGTCACTAAATGCAAATTTAGTATTTAGTGACAACAATTTATATTTTTCATGTCCTTCCTTAATAAATGAGAAAAATGTTTCTCAATTTTATAAAAGTCATTATGATATATTATTATTTGTAAAATTACAAAAGTAAGAAAATTAATTTTGTAACACTTGTGTATTTTTTTAAATTATAAGAAATTTTGTAAAATCATTTTTTTATTATTATACCTTTATTCATGATGATACATGATGATGTTCATGATTCATGATGATACATGATATTTGAGAAAGATTGAAAATAATGAGAATATATTTTTTTTGATTCTTCTTTTGCAATGTTGACTATTGCTTCTGGAAAAGCAAATGGGATTTGGTAAATTATTTTAACGTCAATTATTATTATACATCTAATCGAATAGTATTAAAATATTTTATACACAAAAATGAAGAGAAATTACCAATATTCGAATAAAAATATGATTCAACTTTTGATCAACTTTGGAAATATAATAATGATTCGATGTATTTAATGTTTAATAATTCATAAAGTATCAATATAGGAATTTTGCATAGATCAATATCTTTCGTTTCAAATTAAAAAAAACTACGTCTTTGCAAAAATCAGTTCATTATTGTTTCATTTCATCGTTTTTACTTTTTCGTCGAAAAGAAATGAAATAGTCCACACTAGCAGCATGTAGTTTGCTCCAGTCAAATCAGTTTCTGGTATTCGTCCGTCCTTCCTGCGTTCAATTTTAAATATTACTAAGTAAGTATGATTATTATGTTTAATATCTATTATTTTTATTACATTCAAAGTATAAACATGCAATTATTTTTGTATGTTTTACATTGATCAAGTAGAACTATTCGTTTTTTGTGAAAAAACAATACTTTATTTTAATTTAAATATTTAAAAAAAAAACTTGAATTATAAGATAAAAAATTTAATAGAAACAGTATGAAGGTTAACTCAAAAATATCGTACCAACACAATATCCAATTTTTTCTAATTATCTTACATGATCAAATTATTTTTCTTATTATAAAAGACTAACTTTTGTAGGATTTTCTGATATCTAATTCCAACTTTTCTTTTTACAGCATCTTCTAATAATCTATAATTTATAAAAGGACAATAAGTAAAAAAAATCAACCACGAAATGATGTCAATGTAAGGACTGGTAACTAATTTGATCTCTTCCTAGTTTCAAATTAAATTTTAATAATTATTTAATTATTCAGATAGCCACAATTCACTCCCAGACTCTTTGCAATCAGTTTTATAAACATCAGGAACCCGAAAGAACAGCAAAAATGAAAGAATAACATTTAAAAAAAAATCGAAGGACATTGGTTAAAGGGATTGATATAAACTTCTCGACAAAAAAAAACATTGAATCAGATGGTAACACAACAATAGAGGGGTGGTATCATTTATGTTATATTTGGATCCAATAATTCTA